AACAACATTGTATTATGTTGATGTTAAACATTTATTTTAGTGTCTGCTGGCCTAGCCATTGGGTTTTTTTTTTAACTACAAGATGTGCATGTTTTGTGCTTTCAGTACTTGTTATTGCTCAATTTTGCCTTTTGCAAAGTCATTATTATATCTTACACCATTTATCATGTGTCTTTATAAAGACAGTACACATTTATTTTAGGAGAGAATATTTACTAAACCTGTCAGAAATGACTATCAGGCATGGAAAATATTGCACTGATGATGTAAATGAACACAGTTGCAGTTATGTTAATTTGAATACACCTCCACTTCACTTCTGATCTGCTTCCTGAAGGCTGTTGCACCCATGTGGACTGAAAGGAAGAAGAAAGTCTAAAGTTTACAGCAACCAAACTTTAATATGATTGAAGAATTCAACAAATGCATCTTGGAACTTCGATCATGTAGTTTCCTGCCAGTCACATCGTTGTTTATTTTGTTCAGTAACTGAAGCATGGTTTGACCCAAAAGCCTGTAGCTACTAGGCCCTCACATTCTCCTCTGGCGAGTGATGTGATTTATAAACACCCTCTCCCTTCTCAAACACGTTCTTAACGTAAGAGGTCTCAGATGACTAACAGCAGCACCGCAAAATTTACACGTGCTTTCTCCTAACAGTACATTTCAGTTCCCCCTGTTGCAGCAGTGGTAAATTGGGCACTGAGGGTATTTGTATAAATTTCCATTCTCTCCTCCCTGATTTTTGCATCACTGAGTGGGAACACCTTAAAATACACATTGCATGAGAATAACGCACAAATTCCTGCGGTGCCACAGTTTTTTGATATAATTCATCTATCCTATACCACTGCTTTGCTGATTAAAAACCAGGAGTGTGCGCTAATAATATGGTTTTTATATTGATTATATATAGTGATAGTTTCTGGAAAATCATTTGAGAAACTGCTTATGGACTGGCATGTTTTTGGCTATTCCAGTAAATTAAACACAAGACAAACCAAGTTGCTTCATCACATTGATGCAGTATTTCTGTAAAGCTGTTCTGCTTAATTTTCATTATTGCCCATCATGGCCTAATATGCCCCAAGATATTCAAGGGCTAGGGTACCTCAGTATAAACTCTGACAGCTGACAAATCATGTAGTCTAACTCTATTAAAAATCCAAAGTCACTGGAAAATTCCTGTTGAATTATTTATAAACTGGGTCTGTATAGATGCAAGGTAATTGCTTAAGTCCTAATTCTAATTTGGAGCTGTAAATTGTGAGCATGATAACTGCACTGTTTTTTTCCAGTAGACTACAGACTTGGAGTCGATTAGAGAGAAATTGCACATCTTTGTATGAATTACCCAGCAAACACCATCTATTAAAAATCAGTTCTGAGTATTAGAAGGTTAAAAAGTTTGGGTTTTAATCTTATCTAATGCAATACAATGATTTATCTTTGTGACCGTACTGTGTGCCTGATCTTACTCTAGTGTTTAGTGTGGAGATAAGATGAAATGCACACCTACAGAATGTGCACATCATCAAAATGGGACAAAAATAAAAAGTGTTAATTAAATCTGTACTAGATCACATGTGACAAAATGATTGTCTCATCAGGTTGGACAACTGAGTCTTTCCTACCTTCTTCGATCTTTATACTAAGATTGAACAAATTTACATTGTTCTGCCAGCCAGAAACAAAATATCAAATTGTTAAAAACTTTATGTTCAGGCAACTAAAATAAAGATTAGGTAGCAGTGGGGACATGGCATCTACAGAACAGATAAGGTATGGTTAATGTTAATCACAGCAAAACACTTTAAAAGTAGGTAAAGACTGTGTTTATGCTTCACAACTGCTGGTTTGAAGAAGGAGATGGGGTGTGAATCTAAGCCTCCAGTGTTAAAAGAGCTGATACGATGTAAGATAAACAAAAAAAAAGATGAGCCTTGAGATGGATCAGCGTGATGGCTGCTGTCAAATTACTGAAACCTGTCTCTGCCGTGTTATTTTAAAAATTTAAATCTCCTGCCTGGAGAGCAAGCAGTTTTGAAACAATGCCAAATGTGACATCATGTTACAATCGCATACATTAGGGTAAGCCCAACGTGTTGTGTAGCATGCTGGGAGTGTAGGGAGCTACATGAAAATAGCTAAAGCTAAACTAGCTGCCTTGGACTAGCCTTGATAAAATGACCCAACCGAATCCTTCTATTCTGAAATGTTTGGTTGAAGTCTATACTGTCTTATGTTTCCAGCCAAAGCCATTACATAAGGTGAAGAGCAACAGTGATCTTAAGATTCATTAGATCCTATTCTAATTGGGGTGAAGCTGAGTCATTAACTCCAGCCAATCAGAGTAGGTGATCATGTAAAATGTTAATTTTATGTTAAGAAAGTCCAAAAAGCCTGCTCCAGGTCAGGGGAGGAATCTGGGCTGTTTTTAAAGGTGGACCTATGGAAATCTAAACAAGTTTGGGTGAATAAAAAGTCACAGATATGTTTAAAATACACTCACTATTTATAAAAATGGGTCAATAAGGGCCACAATACCTCTCTAAGTCAAACATTTTGTATGCCTATCCACACTACTTTTTAGTATTGGAACTAAATGATGTCGGTCAGTAATTAACACTTGCTGCTTCACAGTAAAGGCCTTTCATTATGGCTAAGGCATTCTTCACAGGGCTCTGTGCCTTCTAGTGGCTGGTGACAATTAATTGAAATGGTGTTTACTTAACAACCGCATACAAGTGTCTTTTCATACTGTATATGCTGTGGAAGTATAGAAAAAGGAGTTAAAGGGAAGTAATAAAACCTAAGATTAGAAAGATCTTATAATGAAATGCCTCCATTACACTATGAGTATCTACTCCCTGTCAATTATAAAAGGGCATAAGACTCATAAGACAGGACCTAGTAGACCTAGTCTAATAATTTGATTATTCAGGCTTGCACCACATCACTCTAACATTTCCATTTTTTCCAAGCATGAGACCCATTACTGAGAATGGGTCTCATTTGAATTGAAAATGACTGGAAATGCAATAGTGGCTAGGTTTACTTGAGGTCACTTGTGTACATCACTCACTGGATGTGTGGAATAAAGACAAACACTGATGACTGGATTTTCATTATTCACAAACTAAAATTATAACTTTGATAATAATTGATATATAATATAAAATATTTCCAGGCCACAAAATCATGAGCTATTTTAAACAAGATTAAAGGAAAGTGTGTGTTGTTGTCCTACTGGAAAGCAGTGGTGGTTTGGAATAAAATACCTCTTTGTTGCTGTGAGAGCTTCAGACCATTTTGAGTGACTAAGATGATGTATGTTCTGTGTTTGCTTCAGACATTTTTCTAGGTCAGGGGAGCTCCTGTGTAAAAACACATATTTAGTAACAGGGTTCCCACGCCTCCTGGAAAACCAGGGATTGTTTAAATCAGTTTTCCAGTCATTAAAAAGTCATGGAAATTAGGATAAATTGTACAATGTCCTGGAAAAATACATTGTCATCCTGGAAAATAATTTTCTTTCTTTTTTTTTTTTTTTGTATTTTCCTTTTGCTGAGAGCAGACTGTCAGAACTCAGTACAAGCTGGCAGCTAAAATCAGGGCACTATGTGAGATAAATTTAGAATGGCAAGGTTAGAAGTTTATGGCCTGTTTTAGTAATGTTTTTGCACGCTCTGAATACCCAAAGCCACAGGCTTTTAAATGCACCATGTCACATCAGATTGGTGAAGACGGTGTGAAAAAATATTTAACTAGATGGATAAAATCACAGTGGAATATAGCCAGACACCAAGAAATATAAATAGCTTGATAGTTGTAATGCAAATATGAATATCTGTAGGGTAGTAATGAGCTTTAACTTTAAACACATTTAAGATTGATTGCTCCACCACTTGCAGAATTATTGTTTGTTAGTTGGCTAATTGGCTAGCATTTTAACATAATACTCATTGTCTTTAATGTTAGATGGTAGGTGAACTAGCTTGTTACCACAGTACACAGCCATTAATGGTAGATTTGAGGGTCAAGTGTATTCTTGAGTTGAATTTGAGTCAAAAATAATAGTTATTTTGAAGATAAAGTAAGTCAAATCTTAAATATGAACATATGAGCCTATCTTTTGTAGACGCTTCTTGAGGATATTGGTATCTGCAATGTCTATTGTCAATAAACTTACACAAATCCATTTAGAAATTATACAGAAAGAAAACAGAACTCTGTGAATGTTCTTGTGTTTTATTATTGCTTACGTTTCGATGTTAGAGTCAAGTCAGATTGCTTTTCTTTAGTGATGCTACCTTCTACAGAGTCAGGTTTTTATTGTTTTACCCTAACCTGTGATGTAAGAGAGACAAGAAAAAATGCAGAGAGTAAAGCTCACACATTTACTGTAGGATACTAGAAGTCATATTGAGGGAATGAACCACAGATGGTGGTGTTTGGGAGAGTGCGGTAGTCACCAATAACCATTCGGTCACTGACAACTATCGCACATACATTTCTCCTAAAACAGTAGTGGAAAAACAAATGTGTACAAAAAAACCTGAAATCGCCAGCAGTGGTTTCTTTGTGGAATGAGGTAATCATGGTAGCAGGACAGCTGCTGAAGCGTTTAAGGGTGTGTATAAAGCAAATAAAGTATCATAATAGAATAACACATATGATTTAAAAGAGGCTTCCACACAGAGGAACTCGTTGTGTTCACATTTGACATCACAGCCTTGTGTCCTAGAAATGTCCTAGAAAATTATATCTTGAAAAGAATGGGAACTCTGAGTGATGTTGTACCCAGGTAGAAGAGGAAGATAAATGAACTTTACATCACATTGTTAAAAGATACTCAGCACCGTAATATTAGGTGCTTAGAGGACTCCTTACCGCCGCCCCCCCCCCCCCCCAAAAAAATGCCTGCTTATGTTACCTGTTTATGGCAGAGTTTTCATCCTCGTTCATGGTGTTATAATCAGTTTTGTGTGTTTCCGCAGGATTTGGCATTTCTTTGGCAGGCTGGAGGACCTGGTGTGCAGCTGGTCCACAGTAGGTTTGTCCAAAAGAGTGTTCTGACGAGATCAGTGCGAATGGTACTTACCGGACTCCAGAAAGGACCTGGTTGGGAAAGGGAGTGAGAATGGACAACCTTTCTGACTTTGGTGGCCCCTGTCCATCCACCCACAGGGAATGGGAGTGAGTATCAACTAAAGTTAACTTGAATTTGTGACCTTTATTAGATTTCATGCCCCATATACATGACTTAATATGTACACAATCTGTATTTTGCAAATATGTGCACAGTATATGAATTATTCATAGTGAAGATGTTGTATTTGCTGGTTAAATTGTTTGGATCTGAGGTACAAATTTTAAACCATTCTTTTATGGCTTGTCAGTCACATTAATGGGTAAATGCTTAATTATTGATTAATCATTTAAACAAATGCGAAATTACTTTGGCTGTTTCTCAGGCATTCAAAATGCTTCAAAGAAGACAAATAGCTTAAACTATTAAACACATCTCCTCCCTCTTAAATTTAATTGGGCATGTATCATCTGGAATAGTGCCACTGGCTTCTTGTGGCCAACAGGGTAACACAGACAAGATGTTGAAAATCTTTTTAGTTATTCCTCTTCCTCCACCATTATTAAATATTTCAGTGGTTGGCATATTTATTTTTCATTGATTAGCTGAGCACCATCAGAACTCTGTTTATAAATTTTAACACCTAATATTCCTTTCATTGCTCATGAATAAAGGTTCATAAATGCATGGATCTGTTATTCCTCCTGTAAAGTAACTGGAGATGTCAGAAACTCGCAAAAGATTTTTTTTCAGTCACACTATGGCAAAGTAACTGTTTAAGAGAAACGGATAAGAATGTGGGTTGGCTGTTGATTAAGTTTGATGACTTAGATTTTACAAGAATTTGACATTAGTCTGTGTCAGATTTCCAAATAGTATTTTAGTAAAATTGGCTACTGAATAATTGAAGAAATCAGTTTCATGCACAGTGCATAACCCTAGGTTTGAGCTGGAGTGTGCTACAATTTTCAGGTTATACCAACTACACCGCTATCTGTCAAGCAAAGAACAGTTCACATAGGATCATTACTGTGTGGCTATATTAATATTGTTTTAACACAACAGAGTTACAGTCATGCACAGTATTTGAATTACAAGCACACCTCTTATTTCTGACTCTAACCTCCACTTCACTTGAAGCTCATGATCTACTTTATCTCATACTGTACCACTTCATCTCTTCTCCTGTTTATATACATGTATGACCATTGCACTGCCTGATGTATGCTCTGACCACATCAGTATAGGCACGGCGATAAAAGAAATACCAGTGTTTTGCACCGTATCATTACTTTATCAGAAGGGATACATATTTGTTTCAATTCCACTTGTTAAACATGCTGCCATATTCATTCAAACTGTGAAAGCCTCTGTATGGACAGCATGAACCTGAAATATTTATATGAATTGGGATGTTTACATGCCACAGTGACCTGTTAAATATGGGAAAAAGCAGGAACCTCACTCATAATATCCCAACAGAATCATGGCATTTAACAGTGGAAAGTGTGCATATTTAGATGTACCCAGCAGGCCTGACTGGTGGTAACCACTGAAGGAGCTTCTCCCTCTATATCCTGAAGCCCATGCTGCAAGTTAATGCTCGTAGGCCTTTTTCACAGAGGACATTTTGACTTGTCACAGTAGCAATGGTGCAAACAATAAAAATGGCTGAATTTCAAGTAACTGCTTTAGTGCCACCCGTGCTTTTCCTGCTATAAGTCAAAATGTATAGGGGTCAACAATGTGTCCTGCCAAAATGTTAATATCCCATATTGTTAGACATGCCTGATGACACGGTCAGATTATCTAGAAAAAAACATTTGAACTTGTATGCCTCTGTTTCTAGCACCAACAACTGTGTGGAAGATTTAATCGATGAAGATGAGAAAGACAGGGCAAAAAGGTACTGTCTTGTTTATGCCTCTATGTCTATCAGATTGAACTTGAATCCAGTTGAATATATTGTACAAGATATGTGCATTATTGAATATGAAATCTGAACTTGTTTAGTTACTACTTCAGTAATGGGGATAGCAAATACATTTTTTGATGGTAGTTAATCATTTTAAAAGAATCTTGAAGCATCAGTGTCACATTATGGTTCAAACTGGAGTCCATGACAATGAAAGCCTATCTGAGCATAACTTAAAAAATGAACATAGAACAGGGTCAAATGCATTAATGAGACATTGCTTTGCCGCCTCTTGCTACTGCATCTTTCTGGCTGTAATGTTATGTGTATAATTAGTTTTTCCAAATGCTTGATCTGACACTTCTAATGTGTGATTTGTTAAACTTGTCCAAAACTTGGAATATAAATTGGTGATTGGGAATGTTCAAAAATATTCTGTCTCTCTATGATTCCAGATTAGTTGATATTGAAAGAGCAGCTCAGATCACAAACGGGACTTTTCTCTTTTTAAAGCTGCATTACTCAGTGTTGGCCACAAGGGGCAGAGGAAATCTGCACACTGCACTAACCTGTTCTGGATAACATTTATGCCAAAGAGTTGCTTATTTACATATCAAGCAGACAGAGAGAAACAATAACATTACTGCAGAGTTGTTTCTGGTGACTTGTTGAATGTAAATCCACCAAAAATGTGCTTTTTGGTTAGATTGTCTATTGTGAACTTGCTATAATTTTTCTGCCTACAGAGCTACTGTCAGGGTAACAGGGTAAATGAGTGTTAAACTACAGTTGTTTGACTGGCTTTCTCCTGTAATTCCACTGGTTTATAATTGTTGTCACATGTTGACATCTTAAGGGCATCCCGTAACAAATCAGAAAAGAAACGAAGAGATCAATTCAATGTGCTCATCAAGGAGCTATGCACCATGCTGCAGGGCCAAGGCCATCCACGCAAGATGGACAAGTCCACTATACTGCAGAGAACTATAGACTTCTTGAAAAAACAGAAAGGTAGGAAAATGTTTTTAATTTTAGACACCTTTATACACGTTTCCTACATTTAACTAAGCTATAAACTAATACGCTTCATCCCTGTCAAAATAGACTCAGTCCTTGTTTTTTACTTTCTGTTTTATCTTTTTCAGACATGACTGCACAAAATGAAACTTGCAATGTGAGACAGGACTGGAAACCTTCATTCCTCAGTAATGAAGAGTTCACTCAGCTAATGCTGGAGGTAAAGCTCTAGAGGCTGTGTTTGTAGAAAAGCAATTAATTAGCTCTGACATTGACTAGTATTGATGATAAAACTTCCAAGATGCATTCTCCCCTAAAATGCCCATGGAGCTGGGCAAGATGACATATGACAAGACACTTTCTCCCTCTATGTCCAGGCCCTAGATGGTTTCTTGGTGGCATTAACTACAGATGGAAACATTATATATGTATCTGACAGTGTGTCTTCACTTATCGGCCATTTACCGGTAAGTGAGGACGCTTAAATAAATAACCTTTACTGTCTTGCTAACACAACAGTCCTTTGTGGCAGTCCTACTGAATTTATTTTTTGTGAAGTTCAGCTTCAGATTCATTCTCATCAAATGTTGAAACCATGTTGTCTCTTGAGTATAAATGCTTCTTGATTAGTTTACATGTTTAATGGTATCTACTGGGTAATATATTGAACTTGAACACTGATAAGAAACATCTGCAATTCATCTGATTTGTTCCAGGACATGTTGGTTATTTTTTTCTGATGTTTGCTTTGATGCTCATTTTGGAGTTTTTTTTCCACAACACTTTTATATACAATAGTTAGAATACCAAATTTAGGCTTAAGTTAATGGCTCCCAACTAAGTGTATCTGAAACTACTTTAAAGCACTTAAAATTCAGAAATGGAGGTGACCTCATTACATTCTGATGTAATGATTATGTCACCTGTAATGCTGTTTTTACTGTTGCATATCACATACCCCCCCCCCAAAAGACTGACCATCATCCACCTGTCCTTTTGCACCAGTCAGATATGGTGGACCAAAATATCTTGAATTTCCTCCCAGAGCGGGAACACGGGGAAGTGTATAAGCTGCTATCATCCCACATGCTCATGACTGATCCCATCGCTGCTGACTTTCTTGACGGTGAGTATCCGATTGGGAGACCTCTCTGCACAAGTCTGGCCTGTCTGTTTTAACATCACACTGTGTCTAGGTCATCATGTTGAAGCACATATGTGTTGAAAAGTTGAAGTATGTAAAATGTCTCTCATATAAGGAGGTCAAAAGTTCAGTGTGTGGGTTAATACTCTATAGATAATCTTCAGTGGTGCAGTTTTTCACTTGTAAAAAATTCCATTTAACAAAATCTTTGTCGGAAATACAAAAACAATAATCGGCTCTTTATATCAATCTCATTTGAGCTCTTTTGGAGACACTTTTTGTGTTTCAGAGCATCTCTAAAGGATGCTCTGACGGTGATAATGTCACTCAAAACTATATAGAGAGCAGGTTGCTGAATTGGAGTCTGTGTGTTATTGGATTGCTGATTAGTGTGTATTTATAATAGGAACTATCTTAGTATCATAGTTAAGACTTTAAATCACTGTTATGTTAGCACAGTAATCCAAACCAATGTAGTATCTGGGGATCAAGACACTGACCTTAATCCTGTCTTACTATTGAGCTTTTCTAAGAAGGAGCAACGGTAAGTTGCTGGTGTCTCGCTCTTTCCTTAGAAGCCTAAATAACAGACTGTTACAGAGCCAGAGCGAGGATAGACTCCTGGGCACATTTCAGAAGAGACAGTCTTTTTTCATTCTGGCATAGAAAGGAATGTCTGGCTTTTAAGTAAAATGACATAAAATGAGTTTTTCAAATCCACCAGCTCTTTTCCATGAGCTCCACTCGGATAAAAAAAAAATCCTCAGTACCAGGGTCTGTCAACCCAAAAGGTTTTGATTTTTGAGCCTCTGTACACCTTGCAAATGATCAAACCTACATTTGGTCATAATGTTATGGCTGATTGGCATATATCAGCTCAGTTCACTCTCCCAGTGATGTGAGAAATGTACTGTATTAAAATATTACAATATATGTACTGTATGTACTATATGTATATAATATGTGACCATATTCAAATATTACATACATTTTATGCTATAACTTTGTTGTGAACCCTTTTGTTCTCCTCATATTTTAATGCTCCATAGCAAGTACTGTCTGTTGTAATCTCTGTTAATGTGTGATGAAGTTTTATATATAGATTGTTCTCTTGTCTGTAGCATGTATGTGACACTTTATATCTTCATTTGCACATACAGATCTGCAACTTCAAACAAAATCCAGACTTGATTAGGAAGCACCAAATTGAGACAGTATATGATAAAGATTTGCATATACTGTGTTATGAACAAGCTGTTAACCTTGGAAACCTTGTTTTTCAGATGATGCACATATTGAATTTTGCTGCCATCTTGCCAGAGGTAACATTGACCCAAAAGAGCTGCCTGTGTACGAATATGTTAGGTTTGTTGGAGATTTCAAGTTTCATAACAATGGTAAGGATTTTAGTTTTCTCCTTGTTGTAGAAACTTAAACTTCTGTCTAACTTTAATGCTTTTACTTAACAATGTGATATATGAATCAAACTGAATGGAAGATGTAAAAGAAAGTAGTTACTTTGGATGGGTGTCTCAGCCAGCTCTATGCCCCTTTGTATCTTCTCCCTGACACAGTGCCTACATCTTCTTGTAATGGGCTTGAATTGACATTACCGAGAAGCTTGCAGTCAACGCTGGAGGAGCAGGTCTGCCTCATTGCTACTGTACGATTAGTCACTCCACAGTTTCTCAAGGTAAGACCAGCTGGGATCTTGTGCCTTTGTTTCACAGGTCATGTTGCATTTGTGTGAGATCATTACTGTCAAAGGAAAAAAAAGAAGTAGAACTGAAACTATGGCATGAGTGACTTTGCATCTGAGGCATGAAACATTTTGGTCTATAATGACTCCACTCTGGAGAGTTCTTGTTGCAGAATGGTTCAGGGTGGCACTGTACATCTTCCAGCTGACTTCAGTGCAGTGCAGTTCAAGTGACTGCCATGCTTTAACCTTTCTGAGATCAGCTCACATCATAGTGACAGTTTTAGACTTAGCTATACCATTTCCAAACATATAAAGAAAGTTATAAAACAACACAAATCAGAATCAGCAGCAAATCAGCAGAATTAACTTCTTCTTCATGGACAAGTGCACTTACTGTAAACTTCTGTTTATACTAACTGTCACGATGGTCAGTGAGACTTTTTTCCACAAAGAAACTAAAAAAAAGTCTAAAAGATGACATTTGTTTTTCGGAGGAAACATGATATTTATTTTTCTGCCCTAAAATGTGCTGGAGCCTTCGGGCAGTATTCAGAACCTGTAAACTGTTTGGCTGGGACAGAAATATGGTCACAAGAAGATTGATTACATGTAAACAAAATTGTCAGCCACTATTGACAAATGTTTGATGCAAGTGCAGCAGAACTTAACATGCTGTACATCTTGTGATATGATTCACAGTATTTCTTGCTTTGCAGTGTAATCATACTAGTGACTTTCTCACTATGACTTTGGTTTTGTTTAGGATTTGTGTAATGTGGAAGATCCTTGTGATGAATTTACATCTAGACACAGCCTTGAATGGAAGTTCCTGTTTTTAGATCACAGGTAAAAGATTTGTATGATCCTGTCATTCAGTTGTGTAGATTTGAGGCAGAACCACTGTATTAATTGTTTACCACCTTTCTTTTTGTCTCAGAGCTTCACCAATCATAGGCTACTTACCCTTTGAGGTTCTGGGAACTTCTGGTTATGATTACTATCATGTGGATGACTTGGAGCTTATAGCTCAGTGTCACAAGCAGTGTAAGTGACTTACCAGCCTCTATCATCATCATCCAGCAGTCTATCTCTGACAGTTCATTCAAGTTACATGCATTCATCTAATGTGCTAGTGCACAGGAAGAACCTTGGCCCATGACACCTGAACATGCACCTTCTCCCCCTTTTTCTCAGTAATGCAGTTTGGAAAGGGTAAATCCTGTTATTATCGCTTCCTGACCAAAGGCCAACAATGGATCTGGTTGCAGACTCACTACTACATCACGTATCACCAGTGGAACTCCAAACCTGAGTTCATTGTCTGTACGCACACTGTTGTCAGGTAAGTCTGGTTGTTGTACCTTGGGGTATTCTGAGTGAAGGGAGTGGTGTTTACATTTTGTCAGTCTCAGCCTGGTACTGTATGTGTAGAGATGCACCGATTGTAATTCAATAATTGTAGTTTTTTGGCCAATTCTGATTTCCAATTTTGACATTTTGCAACTTTTCTTTAATAAAAATGTTTATTGTTACAGGCTGGATACACTGTACATATACATGCATTTCATGTGTAACCGGTAATTCCCTCATTGTCTGCTATTTGTCGAAGATTTTGACCATCATTTTCCCTTGTCCAGGGTGTTTCTCAAGGGTCCTCTGTGCATTTTTTGTACACTAAGCACTTCCACTGGAAACTGGCTATTTCTGATCTCAGCTGATCGATCAGTGCACCTCCAATGATGTTATAGGACATATAGACTGTTTTTGCAAAAATAACAATGGTTTTTGATTATGTTGGATCTACATTTGTCAGGCATACTCTTTCTATCTGCTGTTTTCAGTTATGCTGAGGTGCGTGCTGAAAGGAGGAGGGAATTTGGCCTTGAAGAGCTGTCTCCACCTGAAATAGCTCCTTCCTCTGTGAAGGTAAAATTCAAGAGCCCTTGTTCATACATTTTGTGACGCATGCAGCATCAGTCTTTATGTCAGACCCATATCCAACCCTCTGTGTTAAAAACGACTTCATGTACCAGGCTCAGGAGCTGTACTTGGACATCTGCTCCACACTGGACCCTCCACAGGACAGAAACAGTGGTGCACGTTCAGTATCCTCCCACAGCTCCCGGAAGTCCTCCCACACAGCGCTGTCAGACTCTGCGTGTGAGTCATCCTCTGCTCCTTAAAGTGCTAACTCACTCAACAGCAGGTCAAATGTACAGAAATCCTACTTCTGTATGGCTGCAGGAGCTGTTATTTACACTTAACTGGAAAAAGAGGGGAAATCAGAAAATCCTAGTCTTTGTCTTATTTGCTTGTGGTTAGGGGTGGAAGTACTGCAGAACTAAGCAGACCAGAAGTCACTAAAACAGCCACCCTAATATACTGTACAGTATGTGGGTGATGATGAATCCATGATGAAATATTTCCAAGGCTCAATTTAGCATGCCCTGTTTGCTGGAGCCTCCAGTCTCTCTGACTTCAGCTGCTCTTCCACCCAGTGTCTTACTAAAGCACTTCATTGCCATCTGCATATTCATGGACAATACACAGTAGAAGATTCATTACGCATAAAAAGTAAACATAGCAGCAGAAGCAGCAGCTGCTGCTGCTGCAGCAGGTTTCTTCCCCTTATCCACACAAATATACAGTTTTATTATTTTCAAACCTTTTCACTGCATCTGTCATAAGGCATAGTTGATGAATTTTCTTGGCTTCTTTATTTTGCCACATTTACTGTATGATGAAATAACATCCACTCAGTGCATTATGGTTTATGGGTTTAAGGCAGAGTCAGAATGATGTAGCAGTCAAGGGCTAGTGAATCAGCAGCCTTGTTACAGAACCAGAAAAAAAAGCATTTCATAAGTCATTCTGGCTTTATCCCAGAAAGGCTGTGCTTACTCTGTTTAGAAAGAAAAGACGGGGGGTTTCATCCAGTTATGCATCTCACTGTTTTCCATTTACAATGGAACAATATTAATGCTTTTTGGTAGAGCACTGCCGAATGGAAATATCTGAAGGCTATTTCATGTGTTCATATCAATTTAGCCAGTAAGCATGAACTGATTTCTAAAATGAAAAAGCTATTGCAAATTAATACTACCAAAGCCAGTTAAAATCTCATTTGATTATCTGGATTTCATTTAGAGAGATATTATACTGTATAACAGTTCTGTGAATCTTTATGACAGTGGCACAAGGACAGTACTGTTCTTCACTGCCTTAGCTTAGAATGATGGAGAATACTGGCTATTAACAAAAATCTAGGTTCATTATTTTTGTTGTCGTGGAGCTTGAAAGAAAAAGACGGAGCACAGAAAGGTTGCAGCGCAGCCACTGCTGCTTGTAAAGCTTCAATGCTGTTAGCACAGCAATAATTTGATGGATCCTAGATAAGCCTGTCAACATTTGACATTTTGCCATTGTAACAGTGTCTATGACACAGTCCATAGTAGTGGGGTTTGAAGCAAGCATTTTAAGATGGTTTTTTTTTTTTTTTTAGAAAAACAGTGATTATGATCTAGCAGAACATACCCTCAGTCTGCTTCACCCAAGTGTGTTAAGAGATGACCTGTCTCTTCTGCAGCAGCTAACTCCTACACAGAAGCCTGCACACCATCATGGCAGTCTGCTTCCATCGGGACAGAGCAGACGGCTACCAGACTCCAACCTGGTAATTCTAAGGTCAGTTTACTCAGTATTTCCATGTGTCTTTTTCCTCTTTCTTTGGCAATAATATGATCAGTGGGAAATAAGTACACAAAGTTGACCCAATAACATTTCACAGATTTAGCTACATTTTGTCACTTTCCCCGTAGAATGTGGCACAAAGACAAAATTCCTTTGACCTCATTCCCCAAATGAGCCTCCCCCTTTATCTTACCTGCAGCACGCACTCAGCAGTGGTTAGTGTTTGGTCTTCCTCTCCTGCTTGTTGCCTTCCTCTCTTCTGTTTGTGTACAATATCTTACTGTTATGACTGTTGCTGTTGTATGTGTTGTGGTTGGTGTACAGTGTCTCCAGGCCCAGTTGTAACGGTGTTATCGAAGCAAGTAAAACATTAAATAAATAAATTATCAACATTATTTCTGAAATGGGTTTTTGTAGTAGCTTTCCACATACTTCTTGTAATTTTCTCATAGAATCACAACCATTTTAAGACCTGTTTTACAGAAAAAGTGGGAAGATGAATTTCTTTTCACCTTCCCAAGTATAACCCACTATATGACTTATGCTAACTGATTGTCTCCTAAAGAGTACAGTTCAGTAACTTGGTCTAGTACAAAAAAAACTCCTAGGCTTTCCTCATGTTTGTTCGCAATTGTTTTTGTATCATGTGCTTGCTGCAGCAGCAGCAGTCATCTGAGTATCAGCTGCAGCAGCCTCAGCTCGGTGTAATGAACCAGCTGAAGGAGCAGCTGGAGGAAAGGACGCGCATTCTGCAGGCTGACATTAAGACGCAGCAGCAAGAGCTGCATGACATAAAGGAGAAGCTTCATCTGGCTAATCTCCAGGTAACACACACAAGAAGAGAGAATCTAAAAACATCATGAAGTTAATGTAGAATTACGTGTTGTATACTGCACTGGGAAAAAACTGAATTTATTCTTATGTCAGAAATGATTAAGCCCGGACATATCATCTGTTAGGGAAAGTCAACATTATAGCTTTACATTACCTCACAGTACTGGTGGAATGGCCCCACCAAGAGGCCAGCACTAACCAGGTCGGCTTCACGTACTCTACAGAGAGAGAGTCACCAAATAAACTTAAGTCTGTCTACAAGATATATAAAATCATATTTTAGCCATATTTTTGGCTGTAGTTTGTCTTTTTTTACTAATAAACAGGAATTTTCAAGCTAACGTCTTTTTGTTAAATTGAATGTTTTTTTCAGTAAACAAAGGATAAATGAACATTTTCTGTTTACATGTGTGTTAGATGCTGTTACAGCAGCCTATACATAATGACTTTGGCCAGGCCCAGCAGCAGCCTCAGCAGCAGGGCCCAGGCAGGCCAGCCCAGCAGAGCCAGTCCGGGGTGATCAGGCAGCTCTCAGGCCATCCTATGCCGGCGACCTGCGGGGCCCACAGCTCATCCCCTCACTCACTTCTGAGAGACGGCTTACCCTCAACACAGGTACAGAGCTGTGCGAGTGAAAACCTGAAACAACAGGGCTGTACAAACACAGCTGCTTCGAAATTGGAAAGGATCATATTGAATCAAATTACCTTTGGTCATTAGCAAGTAATGACTTGTGCACTCAACACAACAGGAGGCTGGTTATGGATTGAGCGTAAATAACAGTCTGTTATTCAAAGATGTAAATATCTCAGCAACAGGTGTTTTGTATTTAATTTCCTAGACACCTACTGCTTGTAGAAACACACAGAAATCGACACTGTGAGGTGATGATGGATTTTAATAAACAAGTTTACTAAATGAAAGAAAAACTTCACAGGAGAGGGTTTTCATATGCTGTTAACCAGCACACAGCATCTCTGATCAGCTTGGTGCTTCCTTCATTTCATCAAAGGTCCAGCATAGGATTGCACGGAGCGGGCAGGTGCAGTCAGTGAGTTTTCCCGTGCGGACGAACACGAGTCTGACGATGCCTTTCTACAGCAACCCCATGATGTTCTCTCAGACCAGCACGAGGCCCCTGCAGGATGCAAACCAAAGACACACTAACAATGAGTTCAGCCAAGATGGACAACTACGGTGAGAAAGACACATCATAGTAAAAACCACAAGCAATAATGGTGATATGGCCGACACTATGACAAGTTAGTAATGTACAGTACAGTCAGTTTAATTAGTAGTGTAGCACAGACAGTTTTCTACCATCCTACACAAAAAGAATTGTACTGAGGAAGCATTAACCAACTTTTTGAGTGTTACACCCTTAATAATTAATACCTAAAGATGTTGTTTTCCAAAATGTAACTTTGTTTGTTGTTTGTTTGGTTATGAATATTTAAGGTCATAAAGAAGTACATGTGATTTTTTTTCAGAGGCTTTACATTTTACATGATGAAAATTTTAGATCAGAGTAGTTAACAGTTGTGTTAATTCAAGTATGAGTGTGATACCAAATGATTGTAGAATTAAGCTCAGACAGTGTAAACCTCCACCAAGGTACATCACTGTCCCCATAATACCATTGCACCTAGCAGCTATATTACCATGATGGTTTGACCCTCATAATGTGATTCATTGCCCATGAACACCTACCTCTAGCATTTGGAATCACATTGATATCATTATTAGTTAGAAAAGTCATTCAAGAAAATTGATATTTCATTAACAGTGGTTTTCGCTAGGATCTAGCTCAATAACCTTTGAAGACACCCTACTGAGTCAGCAGCTAAGATTTGATCTTAGTAGCAAGTCTGTAGCATCATTTATTGTCTTACAATCGCTGGTTTTCCATTAGCCTTATATTATATGTGTATAAATGGAGCAAAAATATTGAAATTGGCCCTATCTCACAATGGTAAAGAATCCTTTAAAAAAAATCCTGGATCCAGTTGATGATGATCTGGATCAGCACCAAAATCTAATGGATTGTTCTGTTGGCTGTACACTCTCTCTCCTAAACATTTCATCAAACAGCATTCTTTACTTTTTGACTTATCCTGTGAACAATGCAACCAACAAACAAGTTTGAGATAATATTAAAAATTCTATGATCAAAGCTGTCCTTAAGTTCCTTCATTAAAAAACAAAAAGGTTTTACCTTTTGTAAAATGCTGAGGTGAAGACATTTTGCTCTGTGATATCATGCTTTGAGCAGTTTTTTCCACAATACAGATGGAGTTCCTGCAGTAACAGATTTTATTTTCTGCAGCATGCTCCTCAACCAGCCATTGCAGACGCTGGTTCCCACCAGCAGTGTCACGTCGCAGCCTTCCCAGTGCAACATGGGCATCTCCCAAACCATGTGAGAACTGTTTAATCAGACCGTGCACACACATACCAAGTGGCGTAGTGTCACATTGTGTCTGAGATTTTCATTGTTCTCTCTATACAGATACACCTTGGAGCAGCAGATCATCACTCCTTCGTTCTCCATGCAACAGGTCAACTGCAATGCTGTCCTTGTGCCCTCTCCAGTCTTCACCTCCCCCATAATGATCCCGCACAACAGCTTCATCACACACCAGTCACAGTCAGCCTACCACAGTCAGCCCCAGGCCTCTCAGCACTCCCTGCAGCTACAGCAGCCCCAGCAGTTCTTTCAGGTACAGTGTAGTCATCTGCTTTGTAGTCTTGCAGCAATATCAGTCACTGTGTGTAAGCAGTTCCTAGAGGCATATGTTTGACTGTTATGTGTGTATTTTGTGATGGATTACTGCATAATGCTTCTCAGTCTAACCAACCAGTGGGTCTGTAATCACTGATTTATGATCATTTTTAGGCATTTACACTGCATCTGAATCCCTAGTTTCTTCAGCAATGTGCCCATTTACACTGGCTGATAACCAACAAATCCGTGTTATTTTCAATCATTCTGGCTTTATACAAAAGCTGTGATGTGACCTAAAATTCATTAGCTCAGAAGTTAAATCACATTATACAGTATTATCCAGACCTTTTCTCATGTTTGACCTCAGCCATTCATAAAACTTACCATACATAAATAGCGTTGGTCTGGCAGTACATAAGAAGCCTAAATGAATACCTCTGCATCCCAAACCATCCAGAGAATCATCACTTTATTTTAGACAGACACACTGTGGAGCCACTCCAGAAATTATAGAAGCTTTAGTCTGTGACTTTGATTAGCCCCGTTTGTATCAGTGAAGCTGGGCTTAATAACAGAAACATCTCTCTGTATGATGCAGTACAGTTCAACTGTCATAACAAACATTGATTTGTGTAGGAAAAATGGAAAATAATTGAAATGTAAAGGTAATGCATGGTTTTCTTCTAACAATGTTTACATTCAGTGCTACCATAATACACTATGTGTGTCCTTGAGGTCTAACAAACATGCTGAATGTGTTGTTGTAAATGTTTTTATCTATAATGATCAATATCAATCAGTATACAACTATTTGTGATATTTTTAGCTTATCACCTACTCTTAATTTCTTCACTAGCCAAAGGGACCTTCACTTCCTTATGCACTGTAGTAGAACTAGGGTGAAGCTAAATTATATATAAAGTAAACTTATAATATAATGGATCTGTAGCACAAGCCAGTTTGTTCTCCTAAGTGTGGAATGTAAATACTGAGGCACCGACTTTGCTGCTTGTGCCATTTTTGTTTATTCAGTGAGAGTGGTAAAAGCATTTAGTAGCACTCGGTTCCAAAAGAGAGAGCAGCTGAAATGCTCAGTAAACAAGATGCACCGTTTATGTTTACCATTATTTTGGCATTTCCGCTGTTAATGTACTATTTGTGTCATGTAAAAATCATTGTTCCATTAGCATTTTAAGCATGAATTCAGAGTTGAGTTGAAAAATTAGGGGTGGAGGGTGCTTTTTTTGTTTGTTTGCAGATATCACCTGGTGAGGGTCTGTTTTTTTTTTTTAAGTAAATAAAAACAGTGATATTCATGAGAGAACTTAATGAACGGTTCTATCAGCTGGCACAGCACATTCAAATTCTCTTTTGTGTCCACAGATGACTCAAGGACTTGTACACAGTGGGTCTGCTCCAGCTTTCTTACACACCACTAGTGTCCCACAGCAGAGCACTGTGGGATACCTCGAGCAGCAGCTGCAAACACAGCAGCTGCCGCAAGCACAGCATCAACTGTTTCAACAACAACAACAACAACAACAGCAACACAGGCAGTACCAACATTGCCAAAATCAGACTGGCAGTGTTTCAGACTTCCGGAATATGTTGACTCGGTAGCGCCGTGGACATTGTTAGAGCACGAAGGTCTCCCTCCACATTGTTACCATGTAGGCAGCAGCATGTTGTGGTATCTGGAAGTCAAGCTTGACATCAGCTTCTGCAGTGGAAATGCTTAAAAATGCAAAACTGCCTGTAGTGACATTACTTTTAATGTGAAGCTGCCAGTCTATTTTTCACTAGAGTGAAACCCACAAGCATAGGCCTGCAGGATCTGTGGAGTCTGGGGTGCTGGCCCACACCACACTCAGTCGTCAGTCAGCAAAACTGCCAGAACAAATGGATCATCACAGCTTTCACATGCTGACACTTGGGTGTTTTTAAAGAGACTTTCCTTCCAAGTATGTGTTTGCACTTGGGTACTGCCCCTTACCCAACAGAAGAATATTTATTTTTTCCCCATGAATTAATATTCAGTTTTCTTCAGGGAGATAATGTTTCCCCTCCCTAGTGACATAACATCACCACCCCAGTCAAGGTTTATCTCACAGATGGCACATGGGATCTCTATTTCAATGTGCTTCATTTGGCAGACATCAACACCCTGCAGAAGAGGATTATGGCCACTATAAAAATGTATTTGAGTTCAAACTTTCAGATGAGATGACTATCATGTCTGAAATAAGGTTTGGTAACATGGTACACCAAGAAACTGGGGAGAAAATTCTCCAATTATTAGAAAGGTATATCTAGATTTTTAAAGCCTCAATCTGGGACTGAAGAAAGGATGCCACACCTAACCCACCTCTTCTCACTGAGACTGACAACACAGCTCAGAAGTTACAACTTTAGGTGTTTCTGATGAGCTCTGCTGCAAAAGTCTTAATGTGATAACCAGGTTACTGGGGGGATCTGTGCCTTTAACCATGGTGTATCCATGGTGCAGATTATGGCTTTAAAAATCCAGCTCAGGTCCATTTGGGATATAAAGTTGTATTTTCATAGGTCATAATTTATTATTTTCCTCATCAGATTTAAACAAAAAACATCTAGATTTGTATTGGATATAGTCCAACTATATATTGGATGCTTTTTGCGACCTTTACATGAGTAAGCCCAAAACTCTTTCTGTAATAATAGTATCTAATAAGATTCATTTAGCCATTTGCTGAAACCCCAATGAAATGATTTCATGTTTACTTATTACATACAGAATACTGTGTATTTGAAACAATACATGGGATTAAGAAATTTGTTTTATACACACAAAAGCTATGATCGATTTTATGTTCATTTATATATTAATAAGGGCAGTAATGTCTTATCCTCATGGTTTTATACAAGATGTTTTCACAAGAAGAGTGCACCATCTACACTCTGTCATCTGTTTTCCACCATACAACACTGCTGCACAAGTGCATAAGCTTGGTGATTTAAATATCTTAGAAACAGGGGAAATGACCTGCAGAGATTCTGCCTGCTGTTTGGCTGTCTGATCAGTTTGTTCTAGTCCGTTCAGTCATGTGTTTGGTTTGTGTGCACATCTGAAAAGTCACTAAATATTTGTGACCAACTGAGCTCATATACAAGTAAACTTCATAATATGAATGGCATCATTGGAAAATGAAAATATTGCTAGTATAGAGTGTTTATTGTTCTTGTAAGTGCACTCCTATCTTAATTGATTTGAAATTTGAACTCACCTTAATTTAAAACTCACCTTTAAGTTTGGTCCTGTGTTACATAGATGCTCCCAAATAGTTCAGCAGCAACAAAAAAAGTTTCTCATGATTCACTGAGAAATGAAACAAAATGTTCACTTTAGAACTTGTGCTAAACTTTATAGAAATCAGCTGTAATGTGCAGTAGGACAGTTTAGTCTCAGCCACATCAGCTGGACACGGTGAAGATACAGATAGGTGACTGATTACAGGAAAAGCCTGAATAAATGAGCGGCCCTGTAATGCCTCTATCCACATGGCACAGTGGGTCACTGGATGGTTTGATGAGTATGGAAATGATGTGAATCATATACTGCGGTCTTCACGGTCACAAACCAGTTGAACACCTGTGGGAGATTTTGGACCGATGCATTAGACAGGGTCTCCACCACCATCATCATCATCAAAATACCAAATGAGGGAACATCTTTTGGAATAATGGTGTTCATCCCTCCAGTAGAGTCAATGCCAAGGTGCACTGAAGCTGTTCTGGTGACACATGGTGGCCCAGCACCTTAGTGAGACACTTTGTTGGTTTTTCCTTTCATTTGTCACCCGGCTGTAGCTACGTCATGGTCCCTTTGAGGACTGGTGCAGGTCATACTGAATGAAAACTGTCAGAAAACTCAGCATGTATGTTCCATAAAACTGCTATGTACACTGTCAGTTTGAAAAAGAAGAATGTTAATTTATGCTGTTTTAAATGTCAGATGCACAGTGTATATAGAAGTGTAAAATAAGACATTGTACATGTAAATTATATGGGTTTTTTTAAAGACAAAAATATCCAAACATTCCTTCAACTGTTTATATCAGCAATATCTTTTTAAACGGTACAACATGCGTCCACTGAAGTCCGAGTAGACACGTCTGTCTACATGAGAAGGTGATGTAGTGTCATTTCCTCCCAAAAACAAGAAAGCAAGGTCACAGGTTCATCGTGACAATAAGATAAATGAAGAATTTCAGTCCTTATGTTCTTATCAAGCAGATGCTTTGAGGTCACAGCAACAGCTGTCCAGCTGTGTGGTGATAATCACAGCTGAGTTTTTAAAAGACATTCAGCCAAAATTCCACATTTCATTTTAATGGGTTTCATTTTTTAAGAAAAAGTGCAATTGTACATCCTTGTCATATTATTTCAGGTGGCTGAGGGAAGTCTGTCTCCCTTTGTACATTTCTGTGACCACCCATACAAGTTCAGCGCAGTCAGCATCTCAGAGGTGCCATAGACGACTCTCTCTCTCTTTTCTCAATCAGTATTATTTCAACTACTGGAAAATGTTTATGGCAATGAGTCAGTCAGTGGTAGAATTCCTCCTTGTGGTTTCTTTCCATTGCCATTTAGAGAAGATGACAGTCTAAAGAACTTATATTATTTGCCTTGCAGAGCTGGTTGAGGGGAAATGCTGCTCATTAAATTGCACTGTGAGTGAATCATGTTGTGATATTTCATGTTTTGTGCTCCGGTTGTGGATTAAGCCCCAGTTTTATTTCGCCCAGAAGTCACAAAGGTTGTGTAAATAATCCATCTGCTCAGCTGCTACTGCTTTTGTTTGTAGTTCAGTTGAACTGCGCTCCTCAACAGTAGCTGCCACACCATAAGTTTTATTTTCTTTGCCGATCAGAACGCTTTTGTTTTTCATTGAGTGTCAGTGTTCTTGACAGTATGTGATTTTAATCAAACTTGTACTTCTTCTGATTTGTAAAACAATGACTGACACCTTCAGTGTCTGACAGTCAGCTCAATGTTGTCTGTGTACGATTTGCCAGGACATCTACAAATCAAACCTGGTACGCAGCCACTTATGCAGTTTCAGTGCAGAAAGAAACCTTGAATATACTGTATAATGTTAAAAAAAAAAAGTTTAGACTGTATAGTTATTTTATATATAGATTACTTATGTTATATGATTTTAAAATTAAACTAATTTTGTAACAGATCATGAAGTGTCTTATTTGAGGAGGTGAGACTCTTTTTGCATTGACGTTGTGGTATCATCACTTGTATGGCTTGTTTTCTTTCTGTATTTACCATCAAAATAAGCTTTAAAAATACTGTTAATATTGTTTTAAATAACAGATTATGTTTACATTCTATAATACCTTTATTATGTTATACTGGATTATTTATAAATCAAGCTGAATATTGTGAAATATTTGACAATAAATATTTTTAAACATACATGTCTTATTATTCTGAGTAAAATGTTTGCTTATATAAATTATGTAACTGTTCTTTAGGCAAAAACTGTATTTTCACTGTAGAAAACCAGTCTAGTGTCAATCTATGAAAAGGGCTCAGCAGGCCACTGGATGTGAAGGAAAAGGGTTTGATGTCAGCACTTAACATTACAGTTTTAAACACTTCTCACAGAGACATGCAAAACATCAGTAAAACATCTTTTAAAGTATAGTAGCCCTCCAAAGTACTGTTTGACACTTTATTTGTAGCCAAACCAACATCTGTCAGCCACACTAAATGTACAGGGGGTCTGAATCAAAAAGTACCGTTTGACACTTTATTTGTAGCCAAACCAACATCTGTCAGCCACACTAAATGTACAGGGGGTCTGAATCAAGATGGTAATAAAATAAGCATTTTTAGGAATTTTGTTTTAAAAAGTCAACCTTTTGCACTCTTCAAAAGATCCAAGTCCAAGTAAAAAAAAAAGTACTACTTGATGTGTACTGTACATGGATTTACAAATATCAAAATGAGTTTTGGCCTTAGGGCTCCTTTGCTCTTGCTATCCAAAATAACTTCAGTTACATGGTTAATGTATGCTGTTAAAAATTAGAAGATACTCCCTCAGGATTAAGTACTTGCTCCTCTGCACCTCCTAGTTAAGAGAAACCTCTGCCACTCTGTACACCTTGTTAATCAGGACCTCCACCTTATCTCCACCCAGATGACAAAGGTCCAAGATGCACACCACATGTGTATCCTGCAGCTCACTGGCGGTCGCTAATATCTCCTCTGCAAGACAAAAATCACACACATTGTAGTCCCTCAATATGCTACTATGCACTTGTGATATAAATGTGTGAGGCCCAGACTGTGTAGTGGCTGTGTCGTTCCCCCCCGCCCCCGGGTGTGGTGGCTACCTGGCTCAGGAAGAGTCATGTCGCTATGGTTGGCTGTGTCACTGAGAGGACAGAGGAAGCCTGACAAAAGGCAGGAAAGCATGGTGTTGCCATGGGGATCCAGAGGCAGACCTACTGCCCTGGGCTCATCAGAGCTCACAACAGGAAAAAAAGCTGCATCAACAGCTATCTGCTTGTTTATGCCTGTCAGGAGGGATAAAAGAAAAAAACATCAGTGTAACAACATAAAAACATAGGTACATTTTTAAGATGTTTTTGGCCATTTAGTCATTTTTAGCATGTCAGCATGTGCAGGCTATGATTCTAAAAGATGTTTCCAATGAGAACCACGATGAATTATACAACTCCTTGAAAAAAAAAAGACTAAGGCATAGAATGAATGTTTAAAAAGGCAGGACCACCTTAAAAATGGTGTATGAATTTTGGCATTTTCTAAATGTGACTAGGATCTCTGACTGTGCAACTTGGCTTCTGCTGCCAGCAGGTCTAGACATCAAAATGACTCACTGGTGACATAAAGTAACAGAATAAAAACAGTGGTCAGCTATAACAGGACTAAATGAATAAGGCTTGAGACATCTATTCATAAGAAAGAGAATGCAGCTACTATAATACAGACAGAATATTGTGATGGAAAACAAGGTGTTCTGGCACATGCACATGTCACGTGACACAACAGATGCAGAAGTGTTCATTTATACAAGGGCATAAACAAGAGACAGTGCCTTTTTCAGTGAAACACTTTCTTGTGCATCACTCAGCACTTTACCTAATATTGTGACTTGGTAGAATCCTGGACAGACCACAGGTGGGAGGGGGTCAGCAGTCTGCTCTGGGCTCCACCGCACTGGCTGAAGGTTACTCCACTGCAGGAGGATGTTCTTCTCATCAAATGTGAACCTCCGAGAGAGGCTGTCCTGGTACAGACCACCTTGGCACAAATGTTCGGACACTTCAAGTCTTTGCTGCGGCCAACTGCTACTTTCCCAGGACAAAATATCTGGTTGAAAACAAACTGTGTAAAAAACAGAACTGTAAAAATAACATCTGCCAGACTATCAGACCACTAACATACACACAGTGAAGCTGTAGCCCCAGTAATTCACCTTGACTTGGATTTTGCAGTTGGAGGATTTGCTCCACATTCTGTGCCTCCTCTGATGCAGAGTCACTGTCTTCTTCTTCTTCTTTTTCTTCCTGCTCTCGTCCTTCCTCTGTATTTGCATGTCCAGCCCTCCTGCAGAGGCAAAGACAAGAAACCTCAGAATGGTTGAATTGTTTTACTGATGAACGCCACCTGCTGAATCTTCTGTACCTTTTTGCTGGCATGCTTCCATGATTCGAGGACTGCGTGGCTTTTCTGTGGAACATGTTACATTTCATTTAATCAGTTAAATGTAGACTTTACACCCTGCTTGATGAAATGTGCTCCTACTAGCCCTAAAAGTAAAATTATTGATTCAATATCAAGCTCACAAATATGCTAGTCAGGAGTCAACACATACCTCAACTGAATTCTTCTTTTCCTTCTGCTGGCTAAGATGTTCTCAGCACAGGGAGATGTTACACGTTCCGCCGGAGTCCACTCAGCTGTCGAGGAATGACTGTGTGTGTCTGGTACAGCTGATTCACACACATCAGTAGCAACATCAGAAACCTGAAATAAAGCAAGATGGTTTATTTTATAGATTTAATAATAACTACTCTTAGACTCCTTGAAATGTGTCTTTTACCTCTTCTGTTCCTAGTGGCTCTATGGTCTCTAGAACCCTCAAGTACCGCACTGTTGTAATCTGGCCTTGAATTGCCAGTTTTTTATGTTCCCTGTATTGCAGGGTCTCCAACTCCCTCTTGAGGTCAGCTGCAGCAACCAGAGGAACTTGTCCTGAAGAGAGAGCATAAAGATTTTAAGATAACATAAGTCCACACAGACAAATCAACCAAATCCTTTTTACTGTGGGATGCAAATGTTTAGATGGAGGGTATCCTGTACTGGACTTGAAAGATCATACATTCTTTTACAGACAGAGTAGGTGTACAGTACAACGGATTTATCTGGACCCTACACTGCACTTTATCTTGTGGCAGAACTACAAAGGAATGCTGACCCAGATTTGACATAAGAAAATCAAGTGCATATCATTGTGGTTCACTACTAAAGCAGAGTTTATGATTTCATGCCTTGAAAATAAAAGAGTGAAAGCTTGATTTTTTTTTCTGAGGCTAATAAATGCATTCTCAAATGAAACTGTAGTACACTGAGCCCCTAACAACAACAAAAACAAGGTATGTGAACATGTTCTAGAAACCATCCATGTGAAGTGTCCCACCTGAGGAATCTGCCACTGACTGTGTAAATGTCTGTGGAGGGTGAGGGTAGCAGTAATGGCCACCAACAGCTGTCTTCTGGAGGATGATGTTGTCCTTCAGAGTCTTAGTCCACTGGATGAAGCTCTTCACTCTGGGGTCACTCACATATGGCTGACCTTTGTGGTAGCCTGTTGTGGATACAGATAATGTGCAATTCAAATACAACTGCAGCAACCAATACCAGATCATCAGGTGCTTCTCATGCTAACCTGTGATGAATGTCTCAGTCTCACAGCTGCTTGTGAGGTATGGCAAAGAACCTTCCACTTGACAAACCCTCATCTGAGTACAAACCAGGTAGGTCACTGTGGAAGAAATGACACTTTATGAAACAAACTATACTTACAAGTTTGGCAGCAGAGCGATCAGATATGAACTGCCACAGCTAACTTACTTGAACAGATACGATTAAAGATTTCTGGCTGAGATGAGGAAAAAATCTCTAAGATAAAAGGATGGTGAGAGGTCCCATCCAGTGCGTGGACCCAGCGATATGTCCAGTATTTTTCTGGACCTAAAAGATGCACATCGTCAATCGCCAACAAGCTAATTAAAATCAAAGAGGAAATTCAGCAGCTTTCCTTCAGTCTTCATAAATCATTGACATCAGGTAAATAAAATATGAAAATGTTTTTACCCTTGTTGCCTTTACTTCTGACTCTTTCAACCCGACCAACAAATGTTACTAAACCAATGACATCACATGCAGAATTGTTGGGTAATTTTTCCAACTCTGACCTGTAAAAAACATACGTAACATGAAGCAGTTTGTAGAACTAAACTGAAATCATTATAGTACATTCACCAGCAAGCAAATGCTAGATAAACAATATTATTAAACACAATGTCTTGTCTATTTTTAAACAGAACAAAACTGTAAAAACAGCATAACACACACAGCTCAAGTACTAGATACAGACATACAAATAAAATCCCAGTTCATTACCTGGTGATGAACTGGTAGGAAACCTCAGGCAGGCCCCACTGAGGCAGCACACTCTTTGGGGGTACCACAGTGATGACTGAAGCAGGGTTGCGAGGGTTCAGACAGATTTCTTGGAAGAATACAGACAGTAAGCAGACAGCATGACTGAGTGTAAGCTATGGCTATAGTTCACCAGCCCTTTCAGACACACCAAAATATAATCAGCCAGTGGGAGAGATTAAAACCACACTAAGATTTTTACAGTTACACAAACTCTCAAGATTATCCTTAAGTAAAAACAGATGATATTTGCATGTATACACTACAGATCAACCCAAAATTCTGCAGTGGAATAAAGTTAGTTAACTGTTTAAAGCAGAATGTGACTAAGCGACGGTTGCATATCACATGTTTATACAATAAAACAATAACAGTTATGCACCATATCACAGCATTTCTGCACTTTTCTATTCAGCTGAAAATGCTGTTCACACAGCAGTGTTAGTAAACTTCAAAATGCACAAACTGTGATCAGTTGCTATGTAAAGTACATACCTACAGATTTAAAAGTCTTCATCCTGTGATGGTCCATTTGAGGCCGTGACCGGTTTGAATAACTCTGCTTCAGGGTGTAATTTTGGAGGTACAACACTGTTCCTACAGTGAGTCTCTGGTAAAACTCGGGACAAAGTTCATTCCAAAGCACAAGGGACATTATGCCAGTCTGGTCAGCAACTTCAAAGTATGCCTGAAATATGACAAAACAGGAGATGAAAAACAAGTAAAGTACACTTTGTCACAATGTAACAATAAAAAAAATAAGAAATGTTAACGTGAAATGCTGTTCACATGTTACTGAAGCTCAAAATTCTTGGTAAGTTCAAACTCACCTGGTAGGGGTAATCAATCTTGAGCCCAAACTTCCCATAATACCTCAATCTGGATTTGTGTATTATCTTCACTAGAAGAGGGAGATGTTTCCCTGAGAAAGGAAATGATGACTCCAGACTACACAGTAGAGCAATCCTGGACACTGTTGGAAAGAAGACAATGCAAACAATACATCATAAAGATTTTCACTGCAATTTGGCAGTCTAAACCTATTCGGTTCTCTCAATACATGTTAAATATATATTTGTAAATGCAGCCTAAAGGGACAGAGACACAACTCTATTAAACATGTTTTGATCAACAACAACAGCATTCCCAGCACAGTTTACAAATTATGCTAGTCATGAGGGAAATGAAATATGTAAGTGTCACACTGGTTTTATGCTGTAACAATAAATATCTGGAAATACTGTTTAAAGTTCTCTTGTCCAGGTCTTAAGACCCCAAATTACAAATCAAGTGATAACAATTTTAGCAAGAAGCATTTGTACAGATGATACATCCGTCACTATAAATAACAATACAATTGAAAGGAACATGAGTTCTATGTTTCTGAAGCCCATAGTTGAAAAGGAAATTATAGAAATAGTGAACAAATGTGGTAACAAAACATCTAGTGATAGTGATGGTATCACTATGACAATGGTTAAATGGGTAATTGAGGGGATATGCAAACCATTAACCCATATTTTTAACATGTCGTTTCGACTCGGGCAGTTCCCCAATAATATGAAAATAGCAAAGGTTATTCCACTGTATAAATCTGGTGATAAGCACAACTTCACAAATTATAGACCGGTTTCTCTGTTGTCACAATTTTCAAAAATTCTGGAAAAACTCTTTAATAACAGATTAGATACATTTATTGACAAACATAAAATCCTCTCTGATTGCCAATATGG